CTCACGCGCAGATTGTGTGAGTCATACCGCATTTTGAGATTTGCAGCCTGAAGTGGAGCCCCTGCTGATAACACAAACACACACGAACGAACACGAACACTTGTGCAGAAAGGCTCTTCGGAATTACACATTGCTGACAACACACACACACACACACACACACACACACACACACACACACACACACACACACACACACACACACACACACGTACAGAAACACACAAAAAACACACACAGACGTGTACAGAATGTCTCTTCTGAAGTACACATTGTTCATTTAAAATGCGCGCACAGGCTCTCTGCAAGCTTGCTCAGAAATCAAAGGCTTTGTTGATGTAGAAATGCAGACACATACACACACACACACACACACACACACACACACACACACACACACACACGGTGTACTATTTGTTTTTCTTTGTTACAAATGCTTGTGGGTGTGGTGCTACCAGTGGCCTTGTGTCTATACTTTTTTTGTCTGTTTTTTTCCGCAATTCATAAATATGGTCGCTTTTTAGAGTCAGGTTACGCCCATTTCTCATCGTCTTTGTAATCTGTAAAGTGCCTTTGTATGGCTAAATGGGCGACATGACTGGATGCAAAAATAAGTCTTGATTTTATAGAAGCCTATGAAAAAATGTCCCTTCTTCTCACTCGATTTATTAGCTCAGTACACATTGTAAACATGAATTCATAGTCTTACTGTAAATGATAGTTTCAAATCATCAATACAGTTTTCTGTTAATTTGTAAATTATAATCCCATTAATAGTCAAATAGATGAAGAAAAAAATGCTTGCAGAGAGGACACTGTTACTTTTGAGTCTGGATGTTAAATTGTCACAGTGTGGGTTCGTGGAATCTTTCAGGAGTCGAGTCATATGCTTCTGTTAAGATCAAAAGTAAACTCAGCTAGTAGCTAAGTAGCCCTACGCTACATCCCCGAATGTTTGTGTTCTGGCCAAGATCAACTTGTTGACATCATTAAACTGTGGTAGTTTTGGTCTCTTCGAAGGGAGTTTTCAGGCATTTCTGAACACACTGATAAACACAGGAAGTATTTGTAAAGTACATTTCACAAAAGCAGGCTTGTCATTGTAAAAGCCATAGATAGTGATGACCTTGTTTGTTTGTTTACTCAATTGTCTCTGCACCACTGAACGTGTTGCTTTGGTGGCTATCGACCAACCAAAACCCATTACCGACTATTGTAGCGTCATTCGACATCCACTCTGTGCATTGGGATTGTCAGTAAATGTTTGACCTTTGGCACTCTAAGCAGAGTTGACTTAAAGGTAAACCGGGGTCCCTTCGAGTGGAAGAACTGGCAACCGTAAAAGAGTAAATATAGGAAGACATATACCAGAACTGCTGTAAATATGAAACATTTCTATTGCATGTTTGCTTCATCTTCCAATGCACAAATTGACTTCCTCCCATGTTGGTGTAGGGGGGGAACTTGCTTGAGCGTATTGAGACTGTCACCTTGCCTGTTTACTCTACTAATATTAACATTTACTCCCGTGGTGTTTGCCTATCCATCAGTGTTGACTGCAGGGGAAAACTATATGCTTGACCTGCTGTAGGTCGGTCAAGTTGTTGTGCTTTTACAGTTCAAATCATAGTTTATTTCTGACGTTCAATGTTGGAGAAGGTGTATCTTATACTTACTTAAAGATTCACATAAAACAAAAACATATTACGAGTCAATACTCATAAAACCATTCAGGTGTTGGCAATACAACTGTTTATTATATGAACATATTGACAAATGGAGGTCATTTCCTGGCTTTGAAATTAGCTACACTGATACATTTACCAATTTTCTCCTTGTTGTAGCGATGAGCGGCAGTGGCTCAGTCAGTAGGGGCTTGGACGGTGAACCGTAGGGTCGCCGGTTCAAGTCCCCGACCAGAGCTAAATATGGAGTGTGGACTGCTACTTGGAGAGGTCCCAGTTCACCTCCTGCCCTGCCGTGGTGCCCTTGAGCAACGCACCGGACATCCCCCTTCCCCCTCTCACTCCCATTGCTCCCCGGGCGCGGCACAATAGCTGCCCACTACTCCTGGTACTAGGATGGGTTAAATGCAGAGAACACATTTCACTGTGTGCTCTGCATGTGTGACCATTAAAGAGGGTTTAATCCCTCCCAATTGTTCTACTTAGATTGCGTGGATCTAAGGTCTGATAGTTGCTATGAGAATACGCCAATAACACTTTTGAAAGGTAGATAAATGTGTGTATGTGCAGCAGACTCGGCCAGAGCTATATTTGGAGGTTGATTCAGGTCCCAGAATATCAGGGAATCAAATGTGGTTGTCATCCCAACTGCTCAGAAATAGTCTTTGTCCTTATGTTGAGGTGTTGACTCTGAAATGAACTCCTCTAATTGCCCGCCAGCTGTTAGATTCTTACAGATCTGTCATTGTTAGGATATGCGGCGCCAAGCCACTGATTAGATGTGAAGTATTGTTTTAGTAAGTGGACTCTGTTAGGTTATTTAATGGTGTTTTACTGATTGTGCTGCGGAGCTGATGTTCAAGTCTGTGGGTGTAATTGCCTCTTCAGAGTAAGAGTTTTGTTTACTGCTCAGTTTCGCTGTTCATTTACACCAGATACAAGCTGATGGCTGTTTTTAATTAGTTTGCCATTGAAACAAGTTTGAACATTGATTATTTAAAAACAAATGAGAGGGTAGTACTCCTTTAAAGCTGTGATACTATATATTTTTAGATGGATCAAGTGACCATGTTTATTGGAAAAGGTGTTTGCAAAACCACACTTATAAGCAATCTCTGTAATTACCCTTGGCTTAATTAGGCGCCTATAGGGATGTGCTCTCTTCCATATTGTATCCAGGCAGTTGACTTCAGTAAAAAGAGTCTCAGATAAACCCACTGTATGTTCCCTGTCCAGCATCAAACAGCGTTAGATACAAAGATATTATTCTCAGGTGTTGGTTGAGACCAAAACAAAGCTAAAAGGATGTTGATTATCGGACTTATTTAAATTAATTGACCAAAAACTTGGCCTCTAAATTTGTGTTACTATTTTCTAGAACATTAAACATTATTATCTTATTTTAGTGACACCAGATTATTATGTTATTCATTGCTTTATAACTCTATGTATACTTAAACATCTTGTTGTTCCTGAAAAACATTTTCCGAGTTATAAACTTGTGAGATGGAAATAAGCATGACATTACAGGAAGTCAGCCAATTATTAGTTTTAAATACTTTTGAAAAATATTCGCTGTTCACATAGCGGTTTTCTCGTTGCTGTTATATGTTAGTAGACAAAATATCTTAACTTTTTGGACATTTGGTTTAACAAAACAACAGACTTAAAGGTGTTATTGTGGTTGCAGAGAAACTGTGATTGCCATATTATATAAAAAAATTATTAATAGAAATAACTGGGAGATTTAAACCGAAATTCCATATAACTTGACATCTGTAATAGAAAGCCAAATCATTTTGTTAACATGCATTGATGAGTTGTATTTATGAAGGAAAACCCCTCTCTTACTGTATTTACACGCTCTTTTATCCCTTGTGGCCCATCAGAGTGCAGCTACAGTAACTAACATCGTCTAATGTCTCACTTCCCCCTGTTGGCACTAACAGAAACATTGATTCTTCTCTGTTGATAGTACATTCATCTCAGTGTGTGAAAACCCCGGCCAACGTGACACAGGAGACCAACCGATACGCTAAACAAACATTGAAATTTGTGCTCACGGGCAACTGAAAAATTATTCATTTGGATGGAAAACCAAAGCACACAGAGAAGAACAGCTGAAACATTTCCCAACAACACCTGCTTTTTGTAGCCTATTGGAAAGAAAAACAAGTGGAATCTGGTGCAG